CTCAGTGCTGGCATTACAGCATGAGCCACTGCACTGGCTATGATTTAGTGTTTTTCTATAAAAATGTTAAGTGAAAGACATGTGTGTTATGTCATTCTACTGAGGAAGAAAGATAAAATAATTATTTTATAAATTTTTTTAAATGGTACTAGGTATTGAACTCATGACCTTGCACTTGTCAGGCAGGCACTTACGCCACCGAGCTAAATCCTTACCAGGCTTATTTAATAAAATTAATATACTAGAGAATAATGATGAGTGTGCTAAGTCAGCATACTGGATTCATTCTGTACATCACAGGAAGTGTCTCAGATTTCAGTAACTTCATTCTTTCAGCCCCCACACGGCCAAGCTTTTTCAGTAGTATGAAACAAATGTCACTTATGATTCTTATGCCAGATGATCTAATAAGAGACTCATTCAGGGACAGACTTTTAGTTTCATTGAAAGTATTTGTGGAACATCATTAGCTGCTTTACTTGGTGCCATCATCTGTTAACAAAGATGAAAATCAGCCATTATACCTGCCTTTAGAAAACTTAAACTCTGATGTTGAATTGTCTGGGTCCTCTATCAACAAAGAAAACTAATCAAATTTCAGACTTGACTCTTCAAATTGGGAATGAATTCTGTGTCCTAGCTCAGTTCTGTTGGTGCTGTTGTGATCTTACCATCAGAAGTCCTTTAATTATTTTCACAGTTCTTCAGCCTGCAAATACTTTAAATGAACATCATTAAAGTTGCCAGGCATGGTGATGCACACCTTTAATCCAGCACTGGGGAGGCTGAGGCAGAAGGATGGCAGGTTTGAGGCCAGCCCAGGCCACATATAATGAGCTCACAGCCAGTTGGGATTACAGAGTGCGGCTGTTCAGGAAAAAAAAAGAAAATAAAAGAAAAGCTAGGCAGAGTGATGCATGCTTGTAATTCCAGCAGGACTTGTCTCAAAACAGAAAAGTAGAAAGGGCTAGATGTAGCTTGTTTGAAGATCTAGGGTTCAATTCCCAATACTGTAAAAATAAATAAATTTTTCTTAAATTAAAAACTCTATATCACATAATTAGGAAGAAAAGAAAAATAAGCAGAGTTCCCTTTCACTTCAGATTCTCAGCTGTTATCAGATTACACCAAACATGAAACATCCAGCCATCATTCAGAGCTAGGGACTTTTCAGGTGGAGGTGATAGAAAGCTCCTTCGAACTGGCCTCCGTCTCGGTGGGGTGGGGAACTGAGTAGACTGGGCACTGCCGCACTGATGGGCATTCCTGGCAGACCATGCACACTGCCCTGGCCAGCCTCAGGCGCACGTGGTCCTTCCATGGTCTTAACAGGACAGTGATTCTCCCTTGATGTAGCAGTAGGGCCTTGGAATGGAATATTTTTCAGCATTAAAGAGAAATGAAATACATATGTATCCATGTCACCGCATGAAACATGCTGAGTGAGGGAAGCCAGTACCTAATTCCACTCACACAAAATGCCCAGGATAGGCAGAGCCAGAGATGGAAGATGGATTAGTGGGTGCACGAGATGGTGGGAGCATGGGGAGCAGATGCAGACTGAGTCTGGGGGAGTTTGGGGCGTGAGGGGGTTGGTGGTAATAGGAATGCTCTAAAACTGGTGACAGAGGTACTGAAGCCATCAGCGGTCCACCACAGTGGGCGAGCTCATGGCAGTTCACAGCGCTACAGGCTGTGTCAGTAACCACCCGAACACGTTTCCGGTCAGTTCTTCCTGCAGCTGCAGCAGGCAGCCCTGGAGGTGCTGGCGGAGAGTAACACGCTCAGCAAGCTGCAGCTGGGACAGCTGGCCTCCATGGAGAGCTCCGTCTTCGACGACATGGTCAGCCTCTTAGAGCGCTTAAAGCACGACATGCTGGCCCGGCAAGTAGACCACGCTTTCCGAGAAGTTAAAGACGCTGCAAAGCTGTATAAGAAAGAAAGGTATCTCTCTAAGCCGGAGCTTAACGCCAGTGTAGTCAGGGTTGAAATGTGGTCCATGCAGTCAGTTTTCCAAGTTGTGTAGACAGAATGGGGCTTGGCCTTTTGTACTCCAAATTTTAGCTTTGTTTTTCTTTTTTTGGTCTCCAGAACCTGGGATTGAACTCAGGGCCTCACATATACTACCACTGAGTTACATCCCCAGGCCTTTCTTTCTAAGTTTTATTTGTTTTTATTATTATGTTTATTTACTTATTTGAGACAGGGTCTCACTGTGTAGTTCAGGCTGGCCTGGAACTTACAATGTAGCCCAGGCTGGCTTCAAATCCACAGTGATCCTTCTGCTTCAGCTACCCGAGTGCCTGAGTGACAGCTGTGCACCCCCATGCCTGCCCTCGGATGGATGTTCTTAGTGAGAATAAACTGATAATTTGGCCCTCAGCTTGTTGTAAATGTAGAGCACCAGCATATGCGCAGCCCATGACTCATTTTATAAAGTGCTCCTGAAGCTCCCTGGACCTGTTTGTGTCTCACAGCTTACCACAGTACCAGAACTCCCCAAGAATGTCCATTGTACTCAGTGTGGAAGTGTTAGTAGGCCCTGTTGTGTTTGTGAAAATTAGAGCATAAAATCAGCTGATGTCGTAAATGCTAAAAATACCTTTTAATTTTATGTAAATCGTATAGTAAAACATGCATTTTGTTTTTCCCATGGGGCTTGAACCCAGGACCTTGCACACGCTAGACAAGTAAGGATACCATTGAGCTGCCTATCTGTTCTTTTTTATTTTTAGACAGGGTCTCACTGAGTTCCCCATGCTGGACTCGAATTTGTAATCTTCTTCTTCCCGCCAGTTTAAAATGATTTTTAAGCCGGGCGTGGTGGCTCACACCTGTAATCCCTACACTCAGGAGGCTGAGGCAGGAAGATCATTGCAAGTTCAAGACCAGCCTGGGCTACAAAGTGAGCTCAAGGCCAGCCTGCACTGCGTAGTGAGACCCTGCCTCAAAAAAAAAAAAAAAAAAGAAAAAAAAGATTTAAAAAAAATTTTCTGGGAAAAGAGTCTCACTGTTGCCCAGGCTGGCCTTGAACTCACAGTGAGCCTCTTGCCTCAGCCTTCTGAGTGCTGGGATTACAGGTATGTAACAAAAAGGACTTGTTAAAGCCTAAAAATACAAGATGCTGAAGCTTCAATGGCAGCGACGAACGTCTGTTTTCAGGTGGCTGTCCCTGCCCTCGCAGTCGGAGCAGGCGGTGATGTCCCTGTCCAGCTCGGCCTGCCCTTTCCTGCTCACACTGCGGGACCGTCTGCTGCAGCTGGAGCAGCAGCTGTGCTTCTCCTTGTTTCAGATGTTCTGGCAGCAGCTGGTGGAGAAGCTGGATGTGCACATCTATCAGGAAGTGAGTGCCGGGCTGGGGGCGGGGGGCGGAGCAAAACCACCCCACCCCCATCTCACGCGCTCTCCGGGTTTCAGGTCATTCTGGCCAATCACTTCAATGAAGGCGGAGCGGCCCAGCTGCAGTTCGATATGACTCGGAATCTTTTCCCCTTGTTCTCTCACTACTGCAAGAGGCCAGAAAACTATTTTAAACAGTAAGCTTAATGTTCAACAATGATGGATGTATCAAAGTGTGAGGGGGTCGGGTCCTCGACAGCCTCGGAGTCCCGTGGATGTTTGGGGGGAGTAGGGCTGAATAAAGCCTTAAAGCACCCACTGTGCATCTCCTGCATGTTCAGGGACCAGGGAAACCAACTAAGACGAAAGGTGTGACCGTGCCCTCAAAGTGGACAGAGCTGGGTATGAATTCTGCATGGGCTCTGTTTTCCGGCCTTTGGTTTTATGCTCCTATTTGCTTAACCACCAGGGAGAGAAAATGAAAGCAAGTGCAGCCTGCCATTCAATAAATGTGACAAACAACACATACATTTAGTGCCTAATAATTGGCCAAACCTGAAGAAAGTTTGTTTTCTTACACATTTGATACATGGACTTTGGTTCTAAGTATAATTTTAAGTGTATGAGAGAATAACTTAGAAATATTTTCAGAATTTGATTTAAAATTTGCATTATGCAGTTTGTGAGATTATGAGACATTTTTAATAATTAAAGGCTTAAGTTCACCTATTTCAGAAAGATACGACTGTTTCTAAATTGCTTTTAGCATTCTGCCTTCCTGCTGCTTGAATGTTCTTTTTTCTCTTTTCCCGTATCTTAATCTCCCTAAAGTCATAGCTACACTTCATCGACTGTCAGTATCAAGTACTGTGTTTAGAGAAATAATGGGCACCTACTGAAAGCAGTGACTTCTTTTTGTCTTTTTGAGACAGGGTCTCACTATGCAGTTCAGGCTGGCCTTGAACTCGCAGCAATCCTCCTGCCTCAGCCTCCTGAGTGCTGGGATCTATTATTATAACCCTTTTTAAAGAGCCAAATAGTAGCCAGGCGTGGTGGCTTATGCCTGTAATTCCAGCACTTGGGAGGTTGAAGCAGGAGGATCGTTGCGAGTTCGAGACCAGCCTGAGCTACAAAGTGAGCTCAAGGCCAGCCTGAACTGCATAGCGAGACCCTGTCTCAAGAAGACAAAAAAAAAAAAAAAAAAAAAAAAAAAGAGCCAAATAATCTGTCCATAAATAGTTCTTATAAATGATGTGCAGCCAGCAGTGCAGGGAAGCGATTTCATTTCTCCTGGTGAAATTGGTGTGATGTGGATTTGACAGATTAACAGAGCTCTCGCCTCTTCCTCTCCCCGCAGTGTGAAAGAAGCCTGCGTTGTTCTGAATTTGAACGTGGGCTCTGCGCTGCTTCTGAAGGACGTGCTGCAGTCAGCGTCGGGGCAGCCTCCTGCCACGGCGGCCCTGAATGAAGTTGGCATTTATAAACTGGCTCAGCGAGATGTTGAGATTTTACTTAACCTGAGGACAAACTGGCCTAACCCAGGGAAATAAGAGGTCTTTGAGAAGATGGTGGTTTGGTTTTGTTCTGTTCTTTTCATCAGAAAGGCAGCGGGATTTCGAGTTGTACGACCAAGTTATGAATTAATGAAACCGGACACATGAGAAGTTTACAGAATCATTTATTAGCCTGGATTTATGGTGTTACTAAAATGCCTTCCATATTTCCCAAGTCCTTGCGTTCCTAGGAAAATAAAAAAACAAATCTCAGAAACTGAAAACCAAGATTCCATTTACAAATATAATGCTGCATATGTGTATTGAAAAGAAATACAAGAGCAGCTGGGTGTGGTGGTGCACACCTGTAATCCCATCGCTCAGGAGGCTTCGAGTTCAAGATCAGCCGGGGCTACAAAGTGAGCTTCAGGCCAACCTGAACTGCACAGTGACAGCAAAGATAAATTATATTCAACTTTTAGGCTCCTGTGCTAATTAAGGGAAAGTCTATTACAGATAATCAAATACAGCCAATAAAGTATTCTAAACTACTTAAGAATGCAGAGGTTCTTGTATCCATATTAGGAGTTCACTGTCTTTCTGTGAGAAAACACATTACGAAAGGGTGGATAAGCTGGGCCTCTACATTAGCGCTGTTTCATTTAAAATACCTACTAGTTGTATTCAGAGTGAGAGTCTTTCCCCTCTGAATGAAACACTTGGGGTCACAGCACTGTGCTTCCCCCGTAAGGACTGTAATTAAGCATTTTGTTTAATTTTTATGTAATTATTGATGAAACGCAACTCTTTTTTTTGTCTTTTTCTTTTTTATCGGTACCAGGGATCAAACTCACAACTGCACACTTGCAAGGCAGGCACTTATGCCACTGAGCTAAATACCTAGCCCCATGATGAAACACAACTCTTAACTTTCTTTTTTTCTTCCAAGACAGCCTGGCCTTGGGCTGTATTATATAATGATTTCTTGATTAAGAAATCTCAGAGAGTAAAATGCAAACAAACTGAGCTAAATTAAATCAAGGCTTTCTACAACTATCAAATTTTATTTGAATTTTTTCCCTTGATTTAGCATTTAGTTGATGCTTTAAATTTTGTAATAGCTCAAACCTAAAACTGCAGCCAGGTGTGGTGGTGCAAGCCTGTAATCCCAGACTTGGGAGGCTGAGACAGGAGGAGCACCATGATTTTGAGGCCAGCCTGTGCTACAGAGCAGGACCTAGTCTCAAAATACATAAATACAACAACAAATCAAATCTAAAATTTTCAGGCATCATAAAACCTCTACTACTGATAAACATGTACTTGGCAGTACTGCTGAAGAAATATTTTTGAGATCCATCCTATCACTTGTTTTGTTTTGTTTGAGACAATCTCCCTCTGTAGTTTAAGCTGGCCTTGAACTCCCTGTGTAGCCCAGCCTGGCCTCGAACTCACCCAATTACCGTGTCTTTTACACAGACTGTCCCATCCATGTGTGGAGTCCACAGCTTTTCAAGGAGTTCTAGCAGGTCAGGGCCTTGGCCTCATCCTCCCCAGGGTTTCCCACTGAGAAAAGAACAAACTTCTAACTCCTCCCCCCTCCCCCTCCCTGAGGGGCGCTCTTCCCTGTCCTTGCTTTTGAGTAGCTGAAAGTTGCAAGGAATGAAACGATTCTCTCCAAAGCTAGGAACCAGTGATATCAGTGATATTAGTAATACTCAGGGGCATGGCGCGTCTCTACAATACTCAATTAAAAGACAGACTTACACTTCATCCCGGAACTTATCCAGGGTTATTATGTGTCCATCATCACTTAAGACCTCATCCGCAGGACACAGACCCAGGTTCTTCAGAGCTGTGGAAGTTAGAATAAGAACTGAACCTTTACAGAGTGGGGACTGTTCTCAGCTGGAGAAAGTCACGGAGCACCCTCAGCCAGGACTCCAACCATGGAAGACACCAACCTTCTTTATACTGCGCAAAGGTTATGGTGCCTCTGCCGGAGGGGTCCATCATGTCAAACATAGCCACGATGTTAGAGCTGTCCACGAAGAAGGGGAACGCAACGCCAGTGGCTTTCGCAATTCTCAGACGTTCCAGTAGAGAGATTAAATACTCTCTTGGTTTTACTGCAATAGAAGAGATCCAACTCTTTCTGGTATGAAATTAAAATACATGCCAAATGGAAACAGTCATTTTATTGTTGTTGATTTTGGGTTTTTTTTTTTTTTTTTAGACAAGGTTCCGCCATGTAGTCAGGCTGGCCTGAGGCAGGAGGATTGTCTGGAGTTCCAGGCCAGCTGGGCTACATAGTCAGTTCAAGGCCAGCCTGAACGTGCCTGTTTCAGCCTCCCAAAAGTGCTGGGGTTACAGGCATGCACCACCATATGGTGGAAGTAGTCATTTAATAATTATTAAACACCTTGTTTAAGGCACTGCACTAAGTACTAGGGTTACAGGCCTGGTTTTGATGAAACTTACAGCCCAGCAGGAAATATCAGGCATTGAACATATAAATAATGACATATGCAAGTGCTCCATCTCAGGTGATTGAATACAAAAGCCCAAGAATTGGCCCTTAGGTTTTGCTTTGCTTTTTTACTGGAACTGAACCCAGGGCCTTTGCACTGACCTGCAGCTCTAGCCCTTCTTGTTTCCTTAAATTTTGAGACAGGGCCTCACTAAGTTCCTAGGCTGGGTGTGAAATCCTACCTCACCCATCCTGCATCAGTCACGCTCCCTCTGGGCACCACCAAGGCTGGGCTGGCTTGCACCTGACCTTAACGAACAAATAAACTCCCCAGGTGATCTAATTCTCAGGCAGAGTTAAGAACCAGAAAGAGGAAGAGCATGATACAGAAAAGACATTGGTCAGCTCGGGGCAGGGGCAAATACGATCACAAGAACAGATACAGCATAAATGTTCATGTCCAACACAAAACGAGTATTTTGAATTAAAAGGTTCTTTCATTTAAGCAGTTTTAAAGATGAAAAATCAGGATAGTTCAGACTGGCCTTGAACTCATTATATAACGCAGGTTAGCCTGTAACTCAAGGCAATCCTCCTGTCTCAGCCTCCTGAGTGCTGGGATTACAGGTATGTGCCACCATGCCCAGCTTCTCATCTTTTCAAAACAGCTGTTCTAACAAATGGGATGAGGTCTCTCATGATGGTTTTCATCTGCATTCCCTTACTAGTGATGTTGAGCTTTTTCATATAATTTCTCCATCTGTATTTCCTTTGAGATATGTCTTTCAAGTCTTTTGCCCTTTTTCTTTTTCATGGTGCTGGGGGTTGAATTGAGTCCTTTACCTGCTTAAATATTGGGTAGCTTGCTTTTTTACTGTTGAATTCCTTATATATTTTGGACATTGACTATCAGATGTGATACAGTAAATTTTACATATTTATGGAGTATGCTGTGATATTTCAATACCTGTATGTTCTGTGTGATAATCAGACCAGGGTAACTGACATATCTACCACCTACAATAGGACATTTATTATTCCTTTGTGTTGAGAACACTGAAAATTCTCTTCACCTATTTTGAAACATTCAATTAATCTGTTAGCCCAGATAGCTTACTACACTAACCAACTAAAGTTATCTCTTCTATCCCTTCGTTCCCCCATCTTTTCAATCCTTAGTGTGTATGTGTTGATAAATCTAATATGGTGCCTTATCTGTACAACTTTCAATAGAGTTGGCAATGAATAAGATACTAAAGGCAGGGCCAGGGATTTAGCTCAACGACATCAGCGCCTGCCTGGCAAGCGCGAGATCATGAGTTCGATCCCTGGTACAAAAAAAAAAAGATACTAAAGGCAATCACACTCCCTACAAAGTCTTCCATTCTTCTTGAATGTGTATCAAAGTCAGAAGCAGAAAAAAGTGCAAAGTTTGAATTTCCACTCATTACATTTTTTTTTAAGGCTCACATACATAATGCTAAGTGGAACTCGGTGTGCTACTTTGATGCAAATCTAAACCAAGTATATTGCTGCATATCTTTTAGACTATGAGATATTTGTTTAAAGTCTACAATTTATACTCTACCTGCTTATAAAAATGTTTGGAAAATGTTTATAACAACAGAAATATATTTAAGAAAGATTAACTTTTTTTTGTTTATTTGTTTGGTATCAGAATCGAACCCATGACCATGTACTTGCAAGGCGGGCACTTATGCCGCTGAGCTAAATCCCCAGCCCTGAAAGAGTAACTTTTTTTAAAAAATTTTTTTAATTTTTTTAAAAGCCAGTCAAATTTAGCAGTGGGGTGGTGGTGGTATATAAAGAGTAACTTTTTAAAGCAGGAAAGGAAGAACCAAATGTTACTAATTACTCATGTCTTACAAATACCAGCTCATGACAGTCAGTTCTTCAAGAAAGACGAAGTTCAGCTTCAGCATCTTAATAATAATAGCTAATATTTAGCTGACTGTTGTGCTGCGCACCTGTAATCCCAGCACTCAGGAGGCTGAGGCAGAATGATCACCATGAGTTTGAAGTCAGCCTGGGCTACCTAGTGAGACCCTATCTCAAAATACCATCAAAACAAAATCATCACCACAAAAAGAAAAATGTAACAGCTAGTGTTTATTAACCTCATCCTGTGAGCATGATACTGTGCAAGGATTTTCCGTGGGTTACTTCACATACAAGGCCATGTGGCCGATGTAGATCTGGGCAATGGCTTTCCAGTGCTCGCAGACATTACCACACTGCTGACTCAGATGCAGGACGGCATCTTCAGTTGCCAAACTGACTCTGCTGTGACCTTCCCTGGTGCATCTCAGCAGCCCCCAAATTCATCTTTTCCTTCCATACCCAGAGTTGCATCACTCATCAGTACTATTAGAATTGCTGCCTTTAAAATTTTTTTCCAATTTTATTTTAGCCATTCCCTAAAAATCTGTATCTCTGCCATGCATAGCATAGAACTGTCACTGCGAAATGGCTGGCAGCCAACTACCATATGCCCGGTGAGAATATATTTCTTACTTAGGGCCAAGTTTTCCTACTGGCCGACTTCAGGACAGCCAGCTTTTCCTACTAACTGATTTATGAAGACCTGCTGGGCTCCAGAGCTCTTAGAATTGAGCATTGAGAATGGTGACAGTGGACCTGTTTCTTCCATAGTAATATCCAAAGCAAGCTGCCTTATTTTCTGTAACTCCCTTACGATTCCAAGATTTTCAAACTGGGACACACGCCATGATGCCTGGACTTCACAAAAGATCAACCATATCAAGAAGTGGGAATATCTGCAGAAGAACGTTTTAGGACAGGACAAGCAACTTGTCATGCTGCATCAGACCAACACTGCAGACACCGGAAATTCCCTTTCCTCTGTCCTTGGGGACACCTGTCAGGCCACTGGAGAAGCAGTGCACAGTCAGCCTGTGGCTGCTCCCCCTCCTCCTACCCAGTGCTTGGTCCCTCGCTGTGGTGGCCCTGCCCCACCTTCAATGCCTGGGAAGCAATTTCCAGGAATCTGCATTGTTCATGGGGTAACAGCATCTCAGCTTTCCAAACTGATAAGCAAATTACTCTTTCGACAGCTTTTATGTTATTAATGTGTGACTATTCCCTGACTCCTGCCCATCTCCTCTTTAGCTAAGAGAATTTTGTCTTTATCTGTGTAGATTCTCTTTTCCCCTGCTGTATCTTCCACGGTAAGAGACTTCTGGTTTTGCAAGATGGGTATAAGGCCTTTGGTGTTGAAGCAAAGCAAGGCATTGTCGGCATGCTAAATTGGCCGAAATGACGAAGAGCTAAGAGTACAAAGCAGGACCGGAAACGGGAGACAGAAGAGCCGAATGGCAGGATCTGTGCTGCCCTGGGTGATGCAGTTGGGAAGCCGGTTGGGGAGGCTGTAGAGTGATTCGGCTATGGACTAGGAGGTCACAGCTCCTCTTTGATTCCTACTCTCCATCATTGGAATGCTTGTGCTTTCCTGAATGCAATTCTGTGGGGAGACTGAGATGCCTCAGTATCATATGTAAGGGCCTATCTGGTTATACAGGTATACACATTGTAGACAGGCATATATGTACACACAGACATCATACGGATTATACTGCAACAGCAAGCAGAAACACTAAAATGACAGCCACGATTTGGAGGCAGATTTATTTACATCGATGGGCACCGATTGGGATCAGTCTCTCAGGCCCTGATCTCTGGTGGTCTAGGACTTATATGAGATAAGCAAGCAGGAAGTAGAGAGGCAGAATGGCTGGCAACTGGGGACAGGATTACACAGTGCTCATCACATTGCCCTGATGTTTCTAAGAGACAGGGGCAGGTGGACCTGGAACAGGAACCATTACCTGGGCAATACACCGAAGTTTACTGGCTGAGGGTGTGTGTGTGAATTTTCTGCTAATATAAATTATACAACATCTGAAAGTATATATTTTATTGCATGTATTACATATCATTTTTCTTAAAAACAGAACTGTCTGAAGGCTGTAAGGATACATTATCAAGCGACTAGTGAAGGTCTGATAAGTGGGCTCATTGATACAGTGACTCAGAAAATCCAAAAACATTTTTCTTTTTGTGTTGTTGTCAGGACAAAAAAGTCAATTTTCCATTCAGTTGACCCACTGGCTTCTTTGATATTCTTTTCAGTTTTAACTTGCTTTTGTTATTCATATAATGTTTAAAATGCCCCTAATTAAGGTGATGAAATGTCTTAGTTTCCCTGAGACAGATCTAGTTTACTATGTTTACTGACACAATTATTGATATCTACTTCCATTCCAAATATCCCTGGTTTAGATGATACTCCAACCCATAACAAACCATTAGTAAGTACAAGAAATAGTTAATGGGCAACACCAAAATAACATGACAAATTCTCACAATCTTCAGCAGATTCATGAATTGTATCTTTCTGATCAAAAGTACCTTGTACTTTTTAGGTAAAAGAGGTTAAAAAAAAAAAAAGGTTAAAAAAACCCTTAAAGAATCAGGCCAATAGTCCAATAATCAACTAACAATTCCAGAAAGAAAAAAAAAAAGAACATTTTCTAGCCTTGAAACAATTTACAACATTTAAAGAATCATCAAGTACTTCACACAATAAATTTAAAGCAATAAAAACAACAAAATCACCCCAAGCCATATAAATATTTAGTGCATTGGGGACACAATAAAAACACAATCCTAAAAAACTTCTGAAGAGAAAAATACATATGTCATATACAGATCAAGAATCAGGTGATGTCTGTAATCCCAACTACTCAAGAGGCTGAGGAAGGAGGGTAGAAAGAGAAGGAAGGAGAGAGGGAGAGAGGGACGGAGGGAGAGAGAAAGGAGGGAGGGTGCACTGGGGCTGTAGCTCAGTGACAGAATGCTTGCCTACCACATACAAGACCCTGGGCTCAACCACCAGTACAAGGGAAAAAACCCCATGGAACCCGATGACCTATGACACCAACTTCTTAGCGCACCCGCAGAAGTCGGTATAATATACAGCAGGCTGGCATTTTGGGCACTCCATGTGGGGCTGCAGGTTCTGATTGTGCATTCTGAGGAGGACAGATAACCATTTTTGTCTTTTTCCGTTTTGTTTTTTTGCAAAGGGTCTGGCTATGTAGTTCAGGCTGGCCTTTAACTCATTATGTAGCCCAGGTTGGCCTTGAACTCACAGTGATCCTCCTGCTTTAGCCTTCCAAGTACTGGGATTACAGGCATGTGCCACCATACCTGGCCATGTCCATTCCGACCATGGCCAAACTTTGTTTTGCTTTGCTGTGTTCTGTTTTGTTTTGTTGCAGTAAGGATTGAACCCAGGGCTTTCTCACTAAGCTACATACTCCCCAGTTCTTTAAAACAATTTTTTTAAAAAATGGTTTGAGTCAGGGTCTCATCACATCATTAAGTAGCCCAGATGGGCTTGGACCTCCCAATCCTCCTGCTTCAGCCTTCTAGAGTAGTGGGATTACAGGTGTGCACCACCACCCCCCTATCTTAACTTTTTTTTTGTCTTTTAAAAACAGGGTCTCCCTATGTAGTTCAAGCTAGCCTTGAGCTCACTGTGTAGCCCAGGCTGGTCTTGAACTCACAAAGATCCTCCTGCCTCAGCCTCCCAACTGCTGGGATCATAGGTGTGCGGCCACCATGCTCAGCTTTAACATAACTTCTTGATCCTACAAGAAACAAAAAGTATGAAATGATTCAAACTTTGTAAGGGATTCAGGTTTATAAAACTGTCAGGAAAAGCTTCTCAATCAACTTTCTAGCTCACCTTATCAATTGTGTAGTTCAGTTACTAAATTAAAAACTCGTAAGGTTTGCACTGGAAACACCTGTTGCTTGGCAGGCACAAGGCTGATTTACGTATTGCTTAATCTTCCCCACATTCCCAGAATTGCAACACATAACGATTACAGTTTCGTGGGGAGTTGACACACGGCCATAACACATTTTAGTATTTTTGTACCCATTTTCCATAAGAAGAAATTAAGCTCAAGCCCCCACAGTACTAAGGTGTGGGCAGGTGCCTGAGTGCCAGCCTCAGACACACTCTCTTAGCCCCAGTCCCTCGACCCGGCCAGAGCTGGCCGCCCCTGGCCCACGGCTGGCACAGAAGGTCGTTCTGCAGTGCTGGCTCGCTGACAGCCTCGGGATCGCTGAGCAGCCTCAGAGCTCAGGCAGCCCGGGGCTGCAGACACAGAGCGTGTGGAGGACTACTCCCGAGCGAAACAGGGCAGTCCGGGGAACTTTTGGGGACAAAGTAACAAGGCAAGACACTTACTAGGCCGAACAAAGAGGAGGACGCTGGTGAGGTGGTGCAGCAGCTCCATGATTCGATGTTTTTCCAAATAACCCCTAGCTTGACGTTCCCTGCTCTGCACCGGCTCCATAGCTCAGCGTCCGAGCGGTTGCTAGGCGACCACGCAGCGCGCTAGCTGTTCGACTCCGCCCCTGCCCGGCGGCGTAGTCACGTGACTGCTTCCCGCGTGTCCAAAACACGTTCTTGTTCTTTACGTTGACTTCTCTGCCTCGCCTGCTTCTCCTCACCCTCCTTCTCTAGCTCCCCACTTCCATTTGCAAAAGAGTTCCCTCATTTTTATTTTTTAGTAACAAGGGATCGCAGGCGCTATACCGCTGAGCTATATCTCCAGCCCCTGAGTTCCTTACTGGCTTTTATTTTGCTCTTTGTGTTGTAGCTTTTTCCACATAAGAAAAACCATGCAATATTTAAGCTTGTGTCTGATTTATTTCAATTAATGACATCCATTTTCCTTCAATGAGTTTATCCTTTATGGCAAAGTAGTACTCTGTTGCGTATAAATACCATATTATCCATTAATCTCTTGGTGGACATATAGACCACTTCCAAGATTTAGCTGTTGTGCGGCTATAAACATGAGTAGGCATGTATCAGTGTACTGTGTCTTGTAATTGTTTTGGAGGAAAAAAGTGTTAAAAATTGTTTTGGGAGAATACGTAGAAGGGAAACAGCTGGGTCTAATGGAATTTCTAGTTTTTTGTTTGGAAACAGGGTCTCACTATGTAGCCTAGGCTAGCCTCAAACTTATGGCGCTCTTCCTGCCTCAGCCTCCCAAATGCTGAGATTAAAGGCATGCACCACCAAATCCAGCCAGGTTCTAAGTTTTACATGAATTTATAAAATATTTAATAATAATAAGATCTTCCCAGCATTTAAAAGACAAAGGGTTGTAAGAGGACCTGCAGCACCACCACCTGGAGACAGAAACAGAAAGTAGCCAAGGCGGGGGACTGCTGAGCCATCTGGCAAGCTAGAAAACCCTCTTTGGACAAGTGCCCTGAGGACCTGGGAGAACTAGGTGCTCGGGCTAACCACTGGCTCGTTGGTACTCCCTGAGCAAGGAAGAGGGTAACTTCTCATCCCCAAAGTCTGGAGGAGGTGTTCCATAAGGGAAGGTGCTTGGGCTCTGAAAAGAGGTGAAAACCATGTGCCCAGATCTATCCGGCCGGCCTGGGTTTGTGAAAAGGGGGTCTCCTACAAGTACATGAGACAGAACTCGGCTTGCAGATTCTTTTTAGCCAAGGAGTGCTTTACAGGAATCCCCTGCAGAGACCCTCAGGCAGCTTTTGTGGGTGGATGTGGGAGTCATGGGTCGGGCAGTGGCATGCTGTCTCATCTCCTTTGTTTGAACCTCTCTCACAGAGGCATGGCTGGCAATCTGAGTGACCTGGTGACACAGCTGAGTAGAACCTGGGGAGCCCTGATCCAGCCACAGACCAAAGGGGACCCTGGGTTCCTTAGGGACTCCGGGGAGAGTGTGAAGACCTCTGTCGAGGGCAGTGTTACTCTTCAGTGGTTTTGGACCCACCACTTTGAGGACTTGCTGAATGTCCTGTGGTGGCAGGGACAGAGGAGCACACTCAGGAAAGCTGTCACCTTAGGGGCACCTATGCACATGCAAGGTGGAGAGTCACTGTAAGGAGGGGCTGGTATGCAGTCTTTTGTCCAGGTGACCTTCAACTGGCCCAAACTGGTGTAGGGTGGGGAAGGAAGCAAAGAAAACAGGAGAAGCAACCTTCATTCGGGGGTGGGGGTGGGGGTGACAGGCTGGGTCTGGCCCATGTCACTGATTTACCTACCAGGGGTCAGCTCTGCTCTCTGTGCCCCTGAGCCTGCAGTAGCCCTGGCCCCGAGGTCATCTGAGTTCCTTTGGCCCCTGAGCCAGCCAACTACTTCGAGAGGGTCCTGCTCACATCCACCCCAGTTGCTGGTGGTTTCTGTCCAATAAATCTGTGAGCCTTTCACCACACAAGGAAGGCCCTGGTCTGCTTGAGCGCTCCTCTCACGTGTCTGGGACAGCGCCCTCCATCTCCTCAGCTCACTGCAAATCCTGTTAAAGTGTCCAGATGCCACCTAGTGGAGTCCGATGTTTTCCTGTCTCTGCTCGGGCTTCGTTCTCCCCTGCAATTGCATCGCAGTGCTTCTTCCTGAACGCCCCTCTTCACCGCTTCCTTCCTCTCCCCAGTGCTGCGAAGTCTGGAAGTGTTTGGGGTCAGTAGTGCCGCGTGGAAAGTGGGCACCAGGCTGCCAGCCAGGGGTGCGCATTGCGGGTCCATCAGGAAGCACAGATGCTAGGCGCCCATTCCAGGCCTGGAATGGTGAATGTCTTACGATGGAGCCTGGACTCTTGGGGCCTCGCTGTTGCTGCTGATTTAATAGCTTTACTTTAGTGTAGTTAATATTTAATACACCGCACATTTTGCAAGTATATTGTTTGATACGTTTTGATGTATGCGTGGAGCCTCGGAAACCACAGCAAGGTAAAGAACACAGCCATTTCGAACCCTGCTCCCCTAACCCATCCCAGGCCACCGAGCACGGTTCTCCATCACCGCTCATTAGCCTGCACTTTGTGGAGCATTATATGTCGTTTGGAGCGCCTTGGCCAGCAGCACGAACGGCTGCAGCTGGCCCCGCCACAGCACGTCGCTGAAGCTCTCCAAGTATGGGCGCCAACTGTGGCCCTGTGGGTGGCTGCAGACAGAGGGCGCCGGTGCACATGCGCGGTGGACACGGCTTGCACCAGGATGAGCGCCCACAAGTCCAGGCACATGCGCTGCGCCGCGCGGGGCCGCTGCAGGTGGCCAGGCTCATGGGTGCATGATGGAGGCGTGGCTGTCCGCGTTGATGAGTATCAGGAAAGTACAGCCGCTGGACACATTCATTGGGAAGATTAAGCCCGACCCCTGGCACAGGAGATAGGCAAAGAGCCAGTGGTAGGGCGCATCGCAGAAGCAAGGAGAGCGTGAAGAGCAGGTCGCTGGCCGCTGGGTTGCACAGGTATATGTTAACCACCGACTTGACGTGCAGCACGCACAGGAAGACCCAGAGGGCCAGCGCGTGGAGGGGCAGCCCAGCCAGCCCAGCCACCAGCCCCAGGCTCTACACCACCATGTGCAGGCCATGGAAGGGTTGCTAGTTGGGGCCGAGAAATTGGCCAACATGGAGTCGTCGGCAGACAACATGGTGCTGGGTGGCAGCGGGAGCCAGGCCAAGGGCATAGGGGGGTACCCTGAGGCCTAGGCATGGCTTTTACCTCTGGGGTGGCATGGGAATGTGGCCTTTGACTGCCAGTGGCTAGAAGTTACTCCATACAGCTTCATCGGAAGTGGAGACCTGGAATGAGAAGGCGAGCCCAAATCAGAGTTGGGCAGGGCAGGAGGAGCAGATGCCTTCATGTAGCTTCGCCAGCCGGCAGGCCTCTTGAGGGGTTTTTCAGCCTCAGGCCTTTTACCTTCTTAATCAGGCCATAATAGCATCTTACAGCAGGACTGGGTCATCCAAGGTGAAATACACAGTTCCGGAGAATGGCTCATCCAAGGTGAAATACACAGTTGGAGACAGCAACCCCTGGCTAAGCTTAACTCTTGGCTTTGTCACCTTCCCTTGCCATGTGACATCAAAAAGGGTAAGCTACCTAGAGCTCTGGGAGGCTGAGGCAGGAGAATCAGCCAGCCTGGACAACTTAGCAAGACCTTATCTCAAAAAGATAAATATAGGGGCTGGGGATTTAACTCAGCGGCATAAGCACTGCCTTGCAAGCAGGCGGTGGCGAGTTTGATCTCCAGTACCAATAAAAAAATATATATATATGTATACAATTTATTTTAACGTAAAAAAAAGAATACTGTTGTTTGTATATGAGGCTGGTTATATAATTGGAAACACGTATTATGTACTCTTTTGAGGCTGGATACTGTAGCCGGTAAAGCCAGGAAGCTCCTATCTCCCCCACCCTTAGGAATTGCCTCTGGCGCCAAACTAAGACCAATGGGCTACCTGTGCATCCCTAATGCCCCTTGGGTTCCACCTCAAGCCGAGGCTACTTATGTGCCTCACTCCACGTGTTCGGCGGAGAGATCGCCAGCCCCGGGGTGGAGATGCCAAGCCCCAGGGAGTCGGGGGTGTCTCTCCCCGCATTCCCAAAATAAAGGTTATTTATATTTCATACTTCTTATATTTTCAGCCGCCGCCGGTCCTCCTCCTCCTCCTCCTTCCCCCCACAGTTCTATCAGTCTTGAAGTCAAGCTGATCCTCCTGCCTCAGCCTTCCAAGTGGCTGAGATTACAGGTGTGCAAAGGTACTTCTGAGGGGATAGCAGGGAGACCTGCACGGCAGCAGCTGTGCGGGCTGATCTGGGGGCTTGGTGATAGGGCTCAGGGGTCATCGTGTGGGGGGGTGCCCAGCTCATGCTTGGTACAGACTCAGTGTCATTCTTACCCAGGATTCATGGCCTCCTGGGAGCCTTTGTGCTCGTGTCTGCCCATCTGTCCCCAGAAAGTCATGCATTTGTTCTGGGGTAGGAAGTCCAGGGCCCTGTCAGCAACCACAATTTATTAGCACTCCCTGGATATAGAGAGACCAAGCACCCTGGCTGAGCAGGAAACTCTCAGTGACAAACTCCCTGGTGAACTGGAAATCTGGTCACCTACTTCTTGACCATTAGCATAAAGAGCTTGGGTTTTGGCATCAGGTCATCTTGTCACTGTCTGTCAACCCTAGAGTTACAGCTCAGGGTAGGGAGTGTGTAGAGGGCAGAGTGGGAGATTGAGTGGCACAAGAGGCAGTAGCTGATCTCCTCCCTATTTTCTGTTTCAGGAAGGGGCAAGTCAGAGATGCTTCAGCTTGGTTGCTGTGTAGATGGAGGGAAGGGCCTGGAATACAGCTCTGTGGTAAAGCGCTTGCCCTGCATGCATGAGGCTCTAGTTTGATTCCCTGTACTGGAAAAAAAATATGGAGGAGAAAAATATAAAAAGGCAACTTTTCTGAGAAAATCCATAGTGAGGCAAGGTAACAGAGTAGCACAGTCACCTCTGGAACCAAATCTTGCCACATCAGACCTGTTTTCCCACTGGCCATTAATAATTGGGAGAAACACCTTGAATTCTCCACCTCGGTTTCCTC